CTTATCTAACTAATCTTAGAAGCTCTATTAATAGACTTCTTTATAGACAGAGTAGAGGATATCTCGGCTTATAAATAATTCTTATTAGCGCAGTTCTATTCAGAGATATTCGCGCCCGTACCCTACTAAATAGCATATAAAATTAACTGCCTGGGTAATACAATTAATAGCTTATTCTCATAGAGTAATATTTTCTTCCCGAATATACCGCTTCTGGAGGCCTATCTCTTAATATAGCTATATAAGGCCTTCGTGGGTAATAGAAAACCCCTCAGATTATAGTACTTAGAGTAGTTATTTATCTATAAGGTAGTATTCGAAGAAGTAAAAGTATAAACAGTCCCGTAGGGTATTGTTTACTTCCGTACAGCCCTCACATCGGAGTCCCTAAAGTCGAAAAAATCGCTTCAAGACAGTTTCAGAAGCAGGAACATTCAGGTCCGTCCGGAGCCATTCGCATATAGCCGCGTTTGTCCAGCGCAGTTGCTATTGGACACGGATTTGTTCTCCGTAGGGCTCAAGATTGATCCTTTGTCGCGGTATTGAATCGGCGTGCTCGGGGTCGTTCGGGGTCGCTATTGAACGTTTTAGAGCGCATAGGGGCGTATAGAAGATATTTCGATAGATAAATAATCAAATGTTGAAACAGAATCAAATGCAGAAGGAAAGAGAGAAATAGCGAGCGTAAGGTCCATTATTAGCCCGTACGGGAGCGAGTCCCCTCGTACGGAGCCGGACTATCTAACCACCGAAAGAACAAAACAGTCATGATCAGGAGCTCACTCTCCCGACCAGGCCCGTTCGTCTCATCTGAAATGTTTTCCCCGGAGTCTAAATAAAGCAAATGGCGCTGTGCAGATGCTCACATATCCCGAGTGCATCCCGTACAGATGAAAACGGGAGGTCACAAAACCTTCGAGAAAACGTGATGCCGACCGACCTGTACGAAGCCAAACGGGGCCGTTCGCGGGTATCCTGTCCTGAACGCCAACGAAATTGACTTAATCAGAATCGGAATCATCTAGGAAAAGTTAGCCTTCTGCTTAGAGCTATACGAGCCTACATACACCCGTACAGGGGTGGGACGGGGATATACATACCAGTCTCCTCCTCAAGATTGTCAGCGATCTGGTAGAAGACGTCCGCGAGCCTACGGAGGCCCTTAGGGGGAACAGTACGGATGGCGTCGAGAATGTCATTATCGTCGTCCAAGGCGCTACGCTTACGGCCGCGGCCGGCTGTGGTCTTACGTCCCCGCTTCTTGCCCTAAGGCTTAGCATCTCCGTCCTTGACTAAAAAATTGTCAGAACGGGAGCGAGAGCGCGCGAGAGCTGGTGGAGCGGGGACAAACGGGGGCGTACGTACTATAGAGTGTGCAGCGCTTGGCCGCGGAGTTATAGCGACAGTTGGCACAGGCGCCGTTGATCTGAACGCAGCAGTCGAACGGGCCAAAGCCCCTCTGGCACAGGCCGCACGCGTCCGTTCCAGATCGAAAGTTGCCGTACAGATAGTGGAAGGCCGCATCACAATTGGTGCCCCGCTTAAGGTTAAGAGTAGTATAGAAAGTGGCACCGTCCGCGCCCGGATGGGTACGAACGCCCATGACGCGCTTGATCTGACGTGAGTGTGAGCGTATGTTATTATACGATGCTGTACGCCTACAGACGGAAGTAAATGACAAACCTCGAAGTAGTTCTGGGCGAGTGTACGAACGGCGGCGGAAACATTCTTCGAGACGTCTAGCGCACGGGTCAGAGCGGGCGTGAGTGGGCAAAAGCGGGTAAGAATAGGAGCGTACGCTTAAGAGCCCAGGCGGTCAACTGCTCGCCAACAGCCTCGTCTGGCTGGCTATCCTCAAGCTCCGCGTTTGGGAGCCGATGGCCCTGAACGCGAGTGTCCGGGGGCTTCCAGCTAGGATGGTTGGGGGGTACCCAGGGCTGGAAGTCGGATAGCTCCGAGCAGGCGCGTTCGCTCTCATTCGAGGCCAAATTGCTTCCGTTCGGGGCTTGATTTGCAGGATCGGAAGCGTTCGGGGCCAGAGTGGTTCCAGACGTGCCCTTTCCACCCTTTCCACCCTTTCCGCTCTTACCGGCCTGACTAAGTCCACGAGGCATTGTCGTTCGGAGGTGTTTGGGGGTGTTTGGGGGTATTCGGGCGCGTTTGGGAGCGGAGCCGGATGGAAAATTGTACGAAAATGGCCATCGACAAACCGGGGCTGTACGCGAATGTTAGTAGATAGCAGATACTACTTCAGCTGCTGTAGATAGGACTCTGAATACTTAGAGAATAGCCTTTAAGTTAGCTTGCTAATAATACAAACCCTATAAAATCCAGCAGAGAGATAGAAAACGAAGAGGCAAAAGCAGAAAATAGATGCTGTGTGGGCTTTTACGAGATTATGACAAAGCTTGGGAAACCGATATATATAATAGCAACTGGTGCCCTATTGGTTATCAGCCACCGGGAGAAATAAATTGTGTGTGTGTGCAGATGCGTTTCCAGTTCTGTTACTTGCAAAGTTCAACTCAGCATCGCTTGATTAGATCTACAGAATGCCTCCCAAACGCAAAAACCCTCGAACCTGCCAACTCCAATGTTGGCAGGCCAAATAACGCGAAGAAGGCTAAGTCTGGCGATAAACTACGTAACAACAATAACAAGCAGTTTGAGGCTGCCGTTAAAAATAGAAGTATATACTGGGCTAAGGTCTCAGGCTCTAAGAACTTGGACATCGAATATATAAAAGTGACTAGAAACCTTAAGGTGGTATATGTATTTATATGTATTTGTAACCCTGTCTGGGACGTGGATAAAGAAGAGGATAATAAAGATAATAACGCCGATGCTTAAAATAAGGTATTCTGTAATAAGAGCGAGATATACCTATATAATAAATAATTCTCCAAGCTTCTATTTTATTTATATATAATTTCTAAGGCAGGACTTATATAAAATAATTATATAGTAATATACATATATAGCTTGTATAATAAATAAGTATATATAATAAAAATCCCAACCTCTAAAATTAGAAATATAATAAAAATACTATAAATTATTTAATTAATTTAAATTACTTATTATACTCTTTCTTAGATATCTTAATTACTATCTAATAAATTCTTATATTATAGCTGGGCTTATTATAAATACTATAATATTAAATATCTAGTTATACTAACCTTTCTTAATTACTACTTTTTAATAATTTAGCTATTATTTATATATTAATATCTATTTAATTAATTACTTAATTTTTTTTTTTACTATTATAACTTCTTTTTTTTATAATTTAATTCTTTTTATTTTTTAATATTAGCTTAATATCTTATTTACCTCTTAAAGATCTTTTATCTTAGCTATTAATAAAGTAACTTTATATATAATAGCTTTTATTTCTTTTTAATAGATATTAGAGTCTATAGCTATATATTAAGCTTTAAAACTATACTTTCTAAGTTAAGAGAAATAAGTCTAGCCTCTTTAAAGGCTATTTTAATATTTCTTTTTATTATAGTAGCTTGAAATATAATATAGAAGGCTAGAAAGAACTTAGTTTTAAAAATATAAGTTATAAAGTATCTAATTAGATATTTTATTTCTTAATTATAAGCCTTCTTAAGTAGCTTAAAGTAATTAATATTAAGAGGCTAAAGTAAATAAGATAAATAAGATAATATATAAAATCTGATAATTTTATTTTTCTTATACTATCTTTTAAATTTAATATATCAGTAATTTTTATAATTATTAAGAATTAAGAAATAATAAATACTAATTAATTAATTAACTATATATTAATTAAAGTACTTTAATTAACTTACTTAAAATTAGTTTTATTATTAATCTAGCTATTTTAAGTTATTATAATTACCTAATTACCTAAAAGATTACTTTTTTAATATTAATTAGTAAAATAATATTAGCTTAAATTAATAATAAATAGCTAGATTATCCAGTCTTTTATATTAATTACTTAAATAACTATAATTTATTTTTAGTTTTTAAATTATATTAATTTTAGTTTTTATATCTTTTTAAGCTTATAATAATTATTCTACTTATAATTATATTTATAAGAAAGCTAGTCTTATTAAAATTATAAATATTATTTAATTAAATATTATACTTTATAATTATATTTACTATAAGTATAAACTACTTTTAAATAATAATTAAATCTTTATATTTAGCTTTTTAATAATTATATTTCTAAAAGAAATATATTTTAAAATTTAAATATTACTTAATAAAATTTAAAATTCAATATATACTAACTAGTAGTATATTACAGTTAGTAAGTAATTAATTAGCTATATTCTTAATATTATATAGCTAGGGGAGAAATTCTTATAAATTTAAATTAAGAATAAAATAAATAAGAATCTCTTTTTTTAAGTTAGAGAGCTTATATAATTTAGAAGTCTAATTAAATTAGAATTAAATATCTTATTATTAATACTATAACTTTATATAATTAATATTATATATTTCTATAATATATTGGAGTTTTAATTTTAAGTTATTTTAAAGAGTTTAAAGAGTAAGAAGAATTCTAGTCTTATTATTGGACTATAATATATTAAGTAGTTAAGAATTAATTAATTAAATAGAGATAATATAAGTTAAGGAATTTTTATTATATATACTTATTTATTATACAAGCTATATATATATATTAAATATAATAAATTTATATATAATTACCTGACTTTTTTATTTTATATATATTTAATAATTATATAACTTATAGAAGACTTAAAGTAGTATAAAATCTACTATTAGATTTTAATAAAATATTTAAGAATAAGAAATAATAAGAGATTTAATTTATTATTAAAGCTATAATATATATAATAAGCTTATATAATAAATAAGCTTATATAATAAAAATCCCTCTACTTATATTATCTCTATTTAATTAATTAATTCTTAACTACAAAATATATCTAATCCTTATATTAAGAGTAGAATTCTTCTTATACTTTAAGCTCTTTAAAATAACTTAAAATTAAAGCTTTAATATACTATAAAAATCTATAAAGTTAGCTATATAATATTATATACCAGTAGAAGGGAATTCAATTTAATATAATTAGATCTCTAAATTATATAAGCTATCTAATTTAGAAGAGTAGATTATTATTTAGTTTATTCTTAACTTAAATTTATAAGATTTCCTCTATAACTATATAATATTAAAGAAATAGCTAATTAATTACTTACTAATTATAATATATTATCTATTAGTAAGTATTAGGCTTCTAACTTTATTAGTAATAATTAGAGCTTAAATATATTTTTTTTATAAATATAATTATTAAAGGCTAAATATAAAAATTAATTATTATTTATAATTAATTTAGCTTATAGAAAATATAATTATAAAATATAATATTAATTTAATTAATATTTATAATTTAATAAAATTAGTTTTATAATAGTATTATTATAAGTAAAATAATTATTATAGGTATAAATAGATATAAAAACTTAAAATTAATTTAGCTTAAAAATTAAAAATAATTATAATTATTTAATAATTAATATAAAAAGCTAGTAATTTAGTTATTTATTATAATTATAAGCTAATATTATCTTACTAGCTAATATTAAAAAAGTAACCTTTAATAATTAAGTTATTATAATAACTTAAAATAGCTAGATTAATAATAAGATAAATTTTAAGTAGCTTAAGTATTTTAATTAATATATAAAAAATTAATTAACTAGTTACTATTATCTTTTAATTCTTAATAAATATAAAAATTACTATTTTATTAACTTTAAGAAATATTATAAAAAGAATAATATTATTATATTTTATATACTATTTTATTTATTTTATTTACTTAGCTTTTAATATTAAATACTTTAAGCTACTTAAAATAGTATAATTAAGAAATTAAGTAATTAATTAATATTTATAATTATATTATAAAAATTAAGTTCTTTTTAGCCTTTTATATTATTATATAGCTACTATAATAAAAAGTAATATTAAAAAAGTTTTTAAGAAGCTAAATTTATTTTCTTAAATCTAGAAAATATTATATTAAAGCTTAATATATAGCTATAAACTTTAATACTAACTATAAAAAAAATTAACCTCTCTAACTCTTAAATCTAAAAACTCTAAAAATAATATTTAAGGCTAATTTACAATTTAAATATCTTAAAAAATAAATAAAAAGATATTAAAATAGCTTTTTAATATCTATTCTTAAAATACTTAAGTTATTTTCAAGAAAATAAAAAAATAATATATTAAATAGTATTATTAAAATCTAAAAACTAGATTCTTTAATAAATAAATAAGATTCTTAGTAAGTAGTATAAAGTAAAAAAACCTACCTATAGAATAGAAGAAGATAACTATAAATAAGAAAAGAGTAAGATAGATTAAGAGATATTAATATATAAGTAGCAGCTAAATTGTTAAGAAGTAGTAGTTAAGTAAGGTTAGTAATGCTAAGGAAAAGATACTATAGAACTTATAGAAAGGTTGTTATAATATAAGAACCTATTAGGCTATTATTAAAATCTTTAGAGAAGAGTATAGTAATTAGTTTTAATTAATTTAAGATATTATTATATTTTTATTAAAGTTTTAATTTTAAAGGTTAGTATTTTTATTATATAAGCTTATTTATTATACAAGCTTATTATATATATTAGTTATTTTATAAAAATAGATAATAGTAATCTTATATTTATAGTAAATAATAGCTAGATAATAAGTAAGATTATATCTTAAATTGCTAGAATAATACTTATAGCTTTAGTAATTTTAAAAAGTAATAAAATACTTACTAATAACTTATATATTAATAATACTAGCTAGATAATTATAATATATATTACTATAGCCTCTATATTCTAAAATATATCTTTAATTTAAAAGAACTATTATTTAAAATCTAAGCTATTTAAATTATAGGCTAATAACTTTAATTTCTACCTTTAAGTAATTATATAATTACTAAATATTACTATTCCCAATATAGAAAATACCTCTAAGAATATTAATCTTATAGTATTAAAAAGGAATGGAAAGAGCCTATAGGGTTAGGTAAGATCTTTTGCAGAGTATAAATAGACTTATATGGCACCTGGCTACATATTCCGAGGAATATATAGGGGGAAGATTAGATGTGATAGATTGGACATTTCCACCTGGAGCAGTATGGAGAGGAAGTAATATAACTTCGACAACAAGGACCCACTTCCTAAAGAGACTATTAAGCGCCTTAGGGAAGGGCTTGTCTTGGTTCGAGGTTAGATTGTTCTTTAGAGACTGTTAGAAAAGCAGAATCTTAGTTTTTGCTGTCTCGATCCTTGCATATAATATCAAGTTTTACAAGAGTCGTCAGTGCTAGCTGTTCTCTGTTAACCGCTACTTCATCATAGTCGACGTGCCCTTTTGCGATAATATGACACCAGCATCGCTTGCGGACTGTGTTTACAGACTGAAGCGGGAGGATCACCGGGATGTAGCGGTAGGTCTGTAAACTTAGGACGAGTTATTATCCCCGGTCCCTCGTCTCGATAAGCAAATGAAGAGTCGCTGTCATAATCTCGGGCTTTGTCTGAGCAACTACTATCCATGAAATTGCCTTTATATTCTCCTTTTGGTATTGCGCCTTAAATCCCGTTGTCGGTGTAGTATACCGAGGTTAGCTCTGCGTCCCGTGGCACCATCCGGCCGACATGGGAACTTCTGCATGCTCACTATGTCTAAATTAAGGGCCTCGAAGCACCGTGGACGACAACCTATCTCAACTGGGGGCAATGGAAAGGCTGGGGTCCCGAGCATGACGCTTCGGTCCGAGCCGCCGAGGATATCAATGAAGAAGTCATCGCCGACTTCAAGGCAGCTAACCCGGCGGTCTTTGGAGAGGATGAGCCCCGACGAAGCTCACGGAAGCCAAAGCTGCGAAAATGACGACCTGGACGAATCTATAACTTGCGATAGGAAAGATCGAGAATAAAGATGACAAGGACTGAATCATGACGAAATGGCTAGACAAGCCCTAGTCACCTAGGGCGGTGATAACCTCCTTATGAGGCCGGGATATGATGCGGAAGCCAGTCACTTGGCCTCGCAGCCAGGGACCGGGCCTTGTGGGTCGGAGCCTTTAAGACTCCGACCGCAGCTAGCTAGCTGAATATCATCAATCCTACACTATCACATCCTAACCGTACGTTCCGTACTCTCTTCTCGTATTATGAAAGGGCTTATTAGGGACTTGAACATACGGTCGCTTCCAGGCGCCATATTTAGTCTGGCCTTCTGGGCCCTGGATACTGTTTGGGGCAGTTCTCAGTAACAGCAATAATTGCGATTTAGTTATTGAGTTACACCTACACAGATAGAAAAGAAGCGTGGCTCAGATAGCATGACAAATGGGCAGGATCGTTTAGAGTAGCTTAGCCTCTCCCTAGTATAGGAGCATATACCTTAGAGACTCTAAAGGCGTGTGAGACGCCTTTCCTACCTCACCATTATCTAGAGACTGCCGCGAGGCGGCTCCAGCTGTCTGGGTCTCCAAGGTTGAGAACGATTATTGTATGGGACTGTTCAATCGAAAGTAAGCCAGTGAAAGTGTATACAAGTAACCAGAGCATTATTACTAAAATCCCCTTGTAGCTAGATTAACCTGAGAAGAAGACTTAGATAGCCCCCCCATACCCTCCATCGTCCTAGGGTGAGACTCTCTCGTTCCCGTAGACTTCCGTTCCATACTCTCACTGTCGTCTTCCCCCCGCTCAACGCAATGCACTACAATCTCCGTACTCCTCATAATTCTATTATCCGGGCCCCGTTTTCCCACTTTCCCACGCTTGGTGCCGCCGTGCTCACCGCCATGGGCATAGGCTCGATGTGTGATATTTCCGCCAGACTCATCGCCATTGAACGTGTTCATTTCTATGGCTGTCGCGATGCCGGTACCAGGACCCTGGCTGAGCGAGCCAGAGGTGTTGTTGCCGTGTGACATCTCAAGGAGGCGATTCAGGATGTTAAACTCCAGCTTGAGCTTGATGCTATAGACAAGGGCCTTATAGGCGGTCTGGAAGTCATAGAAGTCGGTATATTCGAGGATGAGGATCGGGATGTCGAGGAGGATGATGATCACATTGACCAATAGTAAGTGCTTGCGCATTCTGCGGACGCCATTTCCATGCAAAGTGACTTGGATGTCGAAGAAGGAAAAACAGGTCTTGATGTAAATGGTTGAAATAATAAGTTCCTGGAGGAAAAAAATGGTGACCTGGATTTTCTCGTAGACCATATAAGGGTGAACCCAGGGGTTTGAATGAGAGCTGTTAGAGCCGTACATAAGGATAATAATGGGAACATGCAAGATGATAGCGTTAGTGACTATCATGGCGAGAACAAGCCTCCGATAGAACTCATTCCAGAGAATGAGGTGGAGTCGTGAATATAGAACAAGCGACTGGCCGGTAACCATCATCACCCAGCCGACTGCTATAAGGGTGATGTATAACATGAAGTTATCCCAGAGTAATATATTCTTAAGTAAGAATCCAATAGAATGAGGTGCGATTCCATTGGTGGCGGCGAGGAAACTCCAGAAGTAAAGGCCTTTTCGTTTTTTGAAGGTTGCAAGGATGAGAACGTTGAGCTCGATGACGTTATACATGGAAATGCTCATGAAAACGACGATGGGGTAAGAAATTCGAAGCTCATGGCCGGTCGAATCACCGGCCCCAGAGTTTTCCGAGTATCCCATCACGTTGGATAGATGACGGCATGAATCCGATGGCTGATACAGTGTCAGACAAACGAGAGCAGCTTCGGCTTCGCTATCGGGCAACAGTACGGACCTGAGAGCTCAGAAATGGGATAAAGTCATGGAGTGCTAAGTATGGACCAGCGCTGGGACTGGAACCAGGATGTGTGATGTTTGCTGGTTCACTCAACTCGTGACGGCAAAAAGAGAAGTGATAACTAGGATGAAATTATAACTCGGAATTCCAGCAGCTGAAACTGGGGCCCTCTTTCATATGTAGCACATGATGCTGATGTCGAACCTGTACGTGGCTGCGCTACAGGTTGTGGCTTGACCACAGGGGCGATTGATTGCAGCATGGCCGAGATTGCCACCCACACGGCAGCTCTAGATGAGCGCTAGTGGTTTCGCGACAGGTCTGAGAACCTTCAGATGACTTGGCGGGCATGCATGTGTATGTCACCGTTCGCAGATTGTGTCTAGACCAGAGGAACCGTCATTCATGGGGCGCAATCTTGGTTCTGGCAGATGCCTGATTTGTTCAAGTCAGAGTAGCTTTATGTCCAGTCACCCGGCTTAGTGGTATCATTACCCCGCAAAAAAGCTTGAGCCGCGGCAGTGACAATTTCAAGGTATCTTATTGGGTGCCCCACGTTTGCGATTCATGGCTCTGCAGATGATTTCTAGCCTGCGACGCCCAAGATTGTTCGAGATCCGTCCGCCACATTTCAGACTTAGTCAACACTCTCGCCTTGATACTGAATTTGTTCTAGTTCCCCAAGTAGTGTACCAACGGCCAGCTAATGAATGTAAAGCAATCACCACCTGCCGTTTTGAGAATTGGCTTTGAGCAGCTATATTTAAGTAGCTAGTCATCTAATACTTAGATGTTAACGATTACATGGCAATCGTAGCATGAACGCCCGATGTGGCGAACACCTTTATAGTTATTTTATCATCAAAGACCGAACCGAGTTGCAGCAGTGGGCTTAACGAGCAGCAAAGCTCTTTGCCTCATCCCAGGTCATAAAGTTAATGAATATCCACCTCAAAATCTCCCCTGCAACCTCGCCCTTGCAGCGAAATGAGTCTTGATCAGGCTTGACTCTGACAATAAGTGGACCCTCAGTCTCATACTCTCCATCAATCGCAGCAAATAGGCTTGGGTCTACCCGGTTCTCTTGCGCATAGGAAGCATGGTTATCCATAGCGTGCCTAATATGGCGATTGTCTGTGTGAGCGGCTTTGTAGAGCGTGTGAGACTCATCATCATCTTGTTCAGACTCCGCCGCTTCATTGTCGGGCTGTCCTTCAGACACTTCCGCTTCATCCTCGCCCGTCTCAGCTTCGGAGGCATCGCCTGAGTCATTTACATCCTCCCAGCCTCCATTTGAGCCTTCGGAATCTCCGTCTGCATCCATTTAATCATCACTGACCCCAGTCAGCTGCAGACCCTCGTTTATTTTCGCCAGTGCCTTATCAAAGTCCCCCGTCTGATCAGGCAGTAGATTGTACAAGGCGAACCATTCAACCGGCGCGACATCTGTCTTCTGATCGGGCACGCTCTCGAAAGGTGAACCAATTGTTATTTGCAATACAGAGAGATATGATGGAGTTGCGTGCCTCTTTGGCGGGGAAGCGGATGGCATTATCTTAGCCGTGATACTTATCCAGACTAATAAGCAGGACGCCGCGGCCGTCGAGGTTAGTAGAATTAAATACAAGGCATAGTTTAAGATATTTGTTGCCTTCCTTGAGTGTATTGTTTCTGTGGTGCCGAATTACTGCCTGTGTTACTTGTTTCTTAAGAATCTCGACAGTGACCTTATTAGCTTCTTCGTCGGCGTTATTACTCTTATTGAAGAGTGCCTAGATAACAGCATCAGATACTAAGCTAGATATAGTAATATAAGCTTTATTCTTATTTGGTTTTTTTTGTAGTCTTACTCAATATCATCAGATAGATCAAAGCTATATAGTAATCTCAAACAGTAGGAATAAACAATAAGAGCTACACCAAGCTTTATACTTATAGTATAATCTATTATAATTGCTTATTTTAATAAGATAATAATAAATATTGTTATTACTAGATCTTCTATAAAAGAATAAATTAGTATATAATTATTTTACTAAAGTAACTATATTTTTAAGCTAGTAATAGTTAGTAAAGTAAATATAATATTATACTACTTTAAAAAGTATTAAAAGTTATTAAGTAGTAAAATAAAGAAATATTATAATAAAAAAAATATTCTAATAAAAAATATAAAATTAAGAGGTATATAAAAATAAGAGGTAAGTAGTATAAAATAGTATATATTAGTATATAGTAGTATATAATACTTAGAATTTTAAGTCTTAAATAGCTAGAAAATCTCGGGTTTTTTATAAATAATTTCTTAAAACCTAGCTATTATAACTAGATAATAAATATACTATTAAATAGCTTGAAAAGTCAGCTTTTAAATAGTATTAAAATTGTTATCTAATATATTCTATATACTGAGATATTCTGCTTTAAAATTAAGTTAATTTTAAAGTAAATTAATTTTAAATTAATTTTTAATTTCTAATTATTAGGCTAATATTAGTCCGACTAAAATAGTATAAATAGTATTAATAATACTATTTTTATATTATAAGAGGATATTTTTTCCTGATTTTAATAACTTTCTTTTTAACTTTAAAGCTATTATATAAAAAGAGTTATAGCAGATTATATAAAATTAAATATCTATTTATATATTTAAAGAATATTAATATATTTAAGGTAGTATCTTTTTTTATTAGCTTTTTTAATTAGGTATTTAATTATTTTAAGCTTAACTTTAAATTTTAATTTTAGCTAGTTATATTAATACTATTATCTAGCTACTATTTATAAGAGAATATACTTTTTAATACTAGTATTTTTTATATATTTCTATAAAGTATATTAAGCCTATTAAACTTATTAAAATTATTATTACCTCTAGCTAACTATTTAAGTTTACTATTATTTACTAATTTAATTAATTTAATTTTTAATTTCTTTCTTAAAGCTATTTATAGCTAAAAAATAAATAAAAATACTAACTTTCTTATAATATAAGAAAATATATATAACTAGGTATTTTAAAACTTCTTTAATATTAAGTATAATTATAAGCTTATTACTTCTTTTTTACTCTTTTTTTTATATATTATACTATACTATATTATACTATAATATAATATATTATAATATATTATATAATACTTATAATAGATATTCTACTAGATTTATACCTACTTAAGTTAGATAAACTTAAATAGATATATACTATTTAAAAAAGAGTTAAATATTTTTAATATTTTCTTTTTCTTTTTTACCTTTTTTTACTTTAAATTTATTAATAAACTAGGTTTTTTAAATATATAAACTAAATCTAATAAATATATATTATATCTCTTTTAAATTATTTAAAATTCTAATTATTTACTTTTCTATTTTTCTTTTCTTTTTAAATTTTACTTATACCTCTAGCTTAAAACTATCTATCTTTTTTAATATTCTCTTATTAAAATACTAAAAGAATTTATATAATAATATTATTATTTTTATAATATATAAGATAATTAAAGATTCTATTTATTAAAAAATCTCTAAGATATTTAATATTATCTATATAAAATCTTATTTATTTTAAAAGAAGTTAAATATAAATTAATAAAAAGCAGATAATAAAAGTTAATTATTTAACCTTTCTTATACTTTTTTTATAAAAGATCTCCTACTATTTTAAAAATTTATTATTAAAAAAGCTAATTAGCTCTGGATTTTAACTTAATAAAAAAAAGCTATTATATATTTTTAATATCTATATTTACTTTTTTAGATATATAACTTAAAGAATACTTTTACTTAGCTAAGCTTTTAAGAAATTCTCTACTATTTTAAAAAAAAAATATTAATAGCTTTTAACTTTAATTATTTAAATACTTATTCTTACTAACTTAATATTAGAATTTAAAATTATATTTCCAGTATTAAATAGTAAAATCTTTAATAAAATAAGTTTTATATTCTCTTTTAAAAAAGCTAGTATAATTAATATTTTTATTAATAGCTTCTTAATATTATATTTAATATCTCTTTAATAGTAACTTACTTTTATTTCTTTTTACTTTATAATATAAAAAACTTAATGTTAAAAATATAACTTATATAATATATAAACCTTAGCTATTTAAATAATTAATAAACTAATATTATTTATACTAAGATATATAGCTTAAATAAGAGACTATTTACTATTATATTTAATAACTATAATTTATTTAGCTTAGAATTTCTTCTACTTCTTACTTTTAATAAAGAAATAATCTAGAATTTTATATTAATAATTTAAAACTACTAGTATATATATATATCTCAGTTAAATTAAATTTTACTTTTATATATTTAGAAAGTAAATAAATACTATTTATAAGCTATTTTTAATTTAAAAGCTTTAATAAATTATAATTTTTTAAAAAAAGGTTACTTTTAGTTTTATATTTATATTAATAATATTAGCTAATAATTTCTTTAACTTAAAGTATAATTTATATATTAATTTTCTTTTCTAAGTTATTTTATATTATTTATAGCTAAAAGAATACTACTTCTTTTAAATTATTTCTACTAAAAATATTAATATTCTAATTTTTATATAAGCTACTTATCTTATTATTCTATTTAATTACCTATTTTAAAAAGTAATATTAACTTTACTAAATTAAAATAAGTCTTAAAACTCTATTAAGTTTTCTATTTAATATATTCTTTCTTTTTATACTATCTAACATTTTTATTAGCTTTTAATATATAACTTTAATAGTAAATAGAAGCTTAATTATAATAAATAAATCTGGCTTTTATTATAAAAAATATAAGTATAAAATTAATTACTTAAAAAAAGATAAGATTTTAAATTTAAAGTATGTTTTAATATTTTAAAAATACTTTAAATTTCTTTTACTTAATTTAATTAGTAGTATAAATATCTTACTTTTAATATTTTAATTTAACTATATATTTTTAAAAATTCTCTTTAAATATAATTTACTTTTTAAATAAATATCCAGACTTTTATTATTATCTAGCTAATAATAGAGTTTTTTCTATAAAAATAAATTTAAAATACTTAATAAGCTTTTAATAAAAAGTAAAAAAAAATTAGTAAAGTAATATCTAATTATATTATTAAGCTTTATATAAAGGAAATTATTTATATATATAATTAATATATTCTTATTAAAGTTTACTTATATTAGAAGTAAGTATATAATATTTATAAATATTAAGAGCTTTTTATTTTATCTTAGCTATAATAAATTTAAAAAATATTAAAGTTAAAATTAATTAAGTTATTATAATTTAAATAATTTAAAAAATTTATATAAAAATATAGTTAATATATACTATTATACTTTTAGAAAATACTACTCTTAAAAATTCTTAATTACTATTTAAGCTTTTATATTAAATAATAAAATAAAAGTATTTACTTTTAAAAAATAATTAATTAGAATTTATCTTTTAATTTCTTTTTAGCTGCTTATTACTTTTTAAATAAAGCTAGAATTATTTTTTTAAAGTTTACTATATCTTTAAAAAAATATTAGAGTATTATTAGTAAATTAATAAAGAAATTTAATAATTACCTTAATTATAATTTAAGTAGCTATATTATAATTACTTTTAACAGTAATTAGTAGAAGAAAGTTAGTATTAATTATACTTATAAAATATAATATTATAAAAAACTAATTTTTTTTAAATTTAATATTAGGCTTTTTACTTTTTACTATTTTAAGATAGTTACTATATTTATTTAAGCTTTATTTTATCTAGCTATTATTTTTCTAATAAGCTATTACTAAATACTATTTTTAAAATTTTAATAATAAAAATATTTTAATATTTTAAGAGTATAATTTAAAAAAATTAGCTTAGTATTATAAATTATACTAAGAAATACTAGCCTACTAGCTAGAATAATATTAATTATTTTACTAGTAGATATTATATTATATAACTTTTTTAGCTAGCTTAAATTAAAGTAATAATAGCCAGTTAGAATTTATTATACCTTAGAAACTTAAACTTATAAATATTTTTTATATTATTATACTATTTATAATTATATTAAAAGAGAACTTTAGAATATTATTTAACTGCTATATAATTATTTTACTAACTTAATATAATATTATAAGTTTATTTAATATTATTTAATTTTTCTTAAATTTTATTTTAAAGGTTACTTAATAGCTTTAATAGGTAAAATATATATTATATAATAATAGTAACTAATATAATTTCTATAGCTATTTTAAAGCTAAAAAGAAAGTAGTAGAGTTAATATAACAGTTTTTATTATTATTATAGTAGTTTTTATTTTAAACTGAACTT